CAACCATCCACTAACACCCAGGATGTGACCCACACCAGTCCACTAACACCCAGGATGTGACCCACACCAGTCCACTAACACCCAGGATGTGACCCACACCAGTCCACTAACATCTCCTCTATCACTATTATTATATTAGCGCTAAACCCGTAAGGGTCAGCCAGCTTCTCGGTGTTACATAACATTATTTACAATAATATATTTAACAACTTTATATAGGCAGAAATAATCTTTATATTAATATAATTTATCAACCTGAGGGGAAATACAGCAGATAAAAATAAAAAAAATAAATTACCCGCTAAATATTTGGGAAGCAGCGAGTGAGTCGTCAGTGTCTTAGTTAACTGTTGGTGACCTCACCCACTCATCTTCCTCCATTACACACTTAACACACACTAACGGGAATATTAGCCGACCAATAAACAGGTAACAGAAGGCGTTATGGGTCCGAACGAGGTCAAAAACAGGGCAACAACAGGTGAGTCAGAGGCACAGGTCAGCCATGTTGTCACTCAGCTGATCACCTTTGTTTACAATCGATGATGTGTGTTCCAACTTTTGACTTTAACCTTGACTTAGGCTACACTTTCTGCGTTATTTTGTACATTTGTAGCATTATATGCGAGATTAGGGCCTGATAATTAATAATTAAATAATACTGAGGACAATTTTAAACTATGAAAACGATAATCAGAAATTGTGGAAATAATCTGAATGTTTATCACCTCTTGTTCACAATCAGTGACCTGTGTTCGAACCCCTTGCAACGGTGGTAACTTAAGCTTCACTTATAACTTTACTTTTATATATTTATTGAAATAAATTTTATAATTTTATGACAATAATTACACGTAAACAAATTTTATACAATTATAAAAGTTATGATTATAATTAGGTGTTTAAAATAACTTACTGTCAGATTCCTGCTCGTGGCTACGACTTGGTCAAATCTTACATGTACGCCGCCAGGCCCGTGGCCTGGTATACCTGGAGTGTGTTCCGGGGTCAGCGCCCCCGCGGCCCGGTCTGAGACCAGGCCTCATGGTGGATCAGGGTCTGATCAACCAGGCTGTTACTGCTGGCCGCACGTAAATTGACGTACGAACCACAGCATGGCTGATTAGGTACTAGGTGCCTGTCCGGCGCCTTCTTGAAGACAACCAGGGGTCTTGAAGACAACCAGGGGTCTTGAAGACAACCAGGGGTCTTGACACCCAGTGGCCTTGATGACACCCAGTGGCCTTGATGACACCCAGTGGCCTTGAAGACAACCAGGGGTCTTGAAGACAACCAGGGGTCTTGAAGACAACCAGGGGTCTTGAAGACAACCAGTGGCCTTGAAGACAACCAGTGGTCTTGAAGACAACCAGGGGTCTTGAAGACAACCAGTGGTCTTGAAGACAACCAGTGGTCTTGAAGACAACCAGGGGTCTTGAAGACAACCAGTGGTCTTGAAGACAACCAGTGGTCTTGAAGACAACCAGTGGCCTTGAAGACAACCAGTGGCCTTGAAGACAACCAGTGGTCTTGAAGACAACCAGGGGTCTTGAAGACAACCAGTGGTCTTGAAGACAACCAGGGTCTTGAAGACAACCAGTGGTCTTGAAGACAACCGGGGGTCTTGAAGACAACCAGGGGTCTTAAAGGGACAGCCAGGGGTCTTGAAGACAACCAGGGGTCTTGAAGACAACCAGGGGTCTTGACACCCATGGCCTTGATGACACCCAGTGGCCTTGATGACACCCAGTGGCCTTGAAGACAACCAGGGGTCTTGAAGACAACCAGGGGTCTTGAAGACAGCCAGGGGTCTTGAAGACAACCAGGGGTCTTGAAGACAACCAGGGGTCTTGAAGACAACCAGTGGCCTTGAAGACAACCAGGGGTCTTGAAGACAACCAGTGGTCTTGAAGACAACCACGGGTCTTGAAGACAACCAGGGTCTTGAAGACAACCAGGGGTCTTGAAGACAACCAGTGGCCTTGAAGACAACCAGTGGTCTTGAAGACAACCAGGGTCTTGAAGACAACCAGGGGTCTTGAAGACAGCCAGGGGTCTTGAAGACAGCCAGGGGTCTTGAAGACAACCAGGGTCTTGAAGACAACCAGGGGTCTTGAAGACAGCCAGGGGTCTTGAAGACAACCAGGGGTCTTGAAGACAACCAGGGGTTTTGAAGACAACCAGGGGTCTTGAAGACAACCAGGGGTCTTGAAGACAACCAGGGTCTTGAAGACAGCCGGGGGTCTTGAAGACAACCAGGGGTCTTGAAGACAACCAGGGGTCTTGAAGACAACCAGGGGTCTTGAAGACAACCAGGGTCTTGAAGACAACCAGGGGTCTTGAAGACAACCAGTGGCCTTGAAGACAACCAGTGGTCTTGAAGACAACCAGGGGTCTTGAAGACAACCAGGGGTCTTGAAGATAACCAGGGGTCTTGAAGACAACCAGTGGCTTCTGCAGTCCAACACAGAAGAACAGTAGGAGGAGATCTCTGAGGTAATCAGTCCCTCAGCTTCCAGCAGAATAAGACACTCCTCCTCCTCCTCCTCCATTCTTCTCTATATTAGACTGAAGAAGGTACTGACACATGCCAATATTTACAATGCACCAAAACCTCTCATTTTTTAGGCACTGTGGGGAGCCATACGGGTACAGCGCTTCCTGGGGATTGTAATAAAACCCGTTTGATGGTGTCAGGTCAATAAAGGCGATTTTTGTTTGTTAAGTGAGAGAGGTCCAGCCATTCATGTGTGAAATATTTTTTATGTAAATTAAGAGATACATAGATAGAAGAGGCAGATTACACTACTTGTGTTAGTAAATAAGATAAGTAAGAAAGTAAGTAAATAAGGAAGTAAGTAAATACGAAAGAAAGTAATTTACTAAGCAAATTACACAAGCTAGTTAGTAAGTTAGCTAATTAAACAAGGTTATTTAGGTACAATTTACACAATACTTTGATAATTTACAATTATCTTACATAATAATATATATAAATTACCTAAGATAACTTCCCAGAAGATCAAATACCTATTTCCATTCAAGTCCTTGTCATACATACTCATTTACCTCTCTACAAAACACTATGTAACCTCCACAATAATTAAAACCTCATAAAAATAACAAAAAGCCCATCACACACACCTGTCACACAAAATACCAAATTTAGTGTTAAAATATAGACTTCCCAAAAATTAATTCCTCTATGAATGGTAGTCAGTGTTCGGGGAGGCGGTGGCGCTACACAACGCGACTTCTGATTGGCTGCGCCAACAAAGCCGCGCTGTGATTGGCTGTTGTCGAGGCAGCTGATAGGTCCCGTGAGCGGCCATGTTGTCCTCTCCAGATTTGTAAACAAACCCAGGCAGCGACAGGTGCATTGAGAAGGATTTTTTTCACCCAATTTCACCCCATTTCCCCGGTAGATATGGCTGTACCGGGACGGGAAACGAACCGGGGCACCGAGATGTGGTGTGTGGCTGCGTGTACCTCCCAAATATGGACGAGAACTGCTGGAAAATAGTAGGTTCCAGCCTGTCTCGTCCTCTGGTCACTCTTATGACGAGTGTCAAGTAAATGTTAAAATCTAACCTGTGTGTGTTAAAATGTCTCCCATTGGTGTTAAATGTCTCCCATTAGTGTTAAAATGTCTCCCATTGGTGTTAAAATGTCTCCCATTGGTGTTAAAATGTCTCCCATTAGTGTTAAAATGTCTCCCATTGGTGTTAAAATGTCTCCCATTGGTGTTAAAATGTCTCCCATTAGTGTTAAAATGTCTCCCATTGGTGTTAAAATGTCTCCCCTTGGTGTTAAAATGTCTCCCATTAGTGTTAAAATGTCTCCCATTGGTGTTAAAATGTCTCCCATTAGTGTTAAAATGTCTCCCATTAGTGTTAAAATGTCTCCCATTGGTGTTAAAATGTCTCCCATTGGTGTTAAAATGTCTCCCATTGGTGTTAAAATGTCTCCCATTGGTGTTAAAATGTCTCCCATTGGTGTTAAAAATCTGTCCCATTGGTGTTAAAATCTGTCCCATTGGTGTTAAAATCTGTCCCATTGGTGTTAAAATGTCCCATTGGTGTTAAAATCTGTCCCATTGGTGTTAAAATCTGTCCCATTGATATTAAAATGTCTCTATTGGTGTTAAAATCTGCCCCATTGGTATTAAAATCTGCCCAATTGGTGTTAAATCTGTCTCATTGATATTAAAATGTCTCCTATTGGTGTTAAATCTGTCCCATTGGTGTTAAAATCTGTCATTGATATTAAAATCTGCCCCAAAGGTGTTAAAATCTGCCCTCATGATAAAATCTGCCCTCATAAAATAGGCTGCATGTACACCTGAATATAATTCATCTCTGTACAAAGATTATATCTTGAAATAAAGAATCTTAATTTCTTTAATCTTTAGATGACATTCAGTTCATTAACTCAAGTTCGATTCAGTACAAGAACTCGATAAATTAATTTGTGTTACAGTCTAGTAGGGCCATAGTTACAGTTTTTACATGACATGACAGGACATTCTAGTCATGAAGTTAAATTCTCGAAGCAGCGACCATAAACGGTAATAGCTTCACAAGTTTGTCTCTTATGTGCGAGTTTTGTACCTAGGAATAACAATAATGTCGAGTGATACTTGGAGTATACCTGGAGAGGGTTTCAGGGGTCAATGCCCTGGCACCCCGGTCCATGACTGGGCCTCGTGGTGGATCAGGACCTGATCAACCAGGCCGTTACTGCTGGCCACATGTAAACCAGCATATGGCTCACAGCCCAGCTGGTCAGCTGGGCTGTTTGTCCAGCTCCCTCTTGAAGACAGTCAGGGGTCTTGAAGACAGCTAGGGGTCTTGAAGACAGCCAGGGGTCTTGAAGACAGCCAGGGGTCTTGAAGACAGCCAGGGGTCTTGAAGACAGCCAGGGGTCTTGAAGACAGCCAGGGGTCTTGAAGACAGCCAGGGGTCTTGAAGACAGCCAGGGGTCTATTGGTAATCCCCCCTCTTGAAAAAGTACATTAATTTTTGATGCACATGTTCATATTTGAAAAAAATCACTATATAGAGGTTTATAAGAGTTGACTCTGTATAGAGGAGCTTTATAAGAGAGGTGACTGTATATAGAGGAGCTCTGTAGAAGAGCTAACTTTATATTGTCCAACTCTTGAAATTTTTCAAAAGTAATATGCAAGAATTTTACATATGATCATAATTTTTCAGATTACTGGAAATAATTCGACAGCGAGGCCTACAGTAAACACTGAGGGACGGCTCTCTGGATACACCATGTGTAGGAATCCTACCAGGAAACACTGAATACTGCCAGTTAACACTGCAGGAAACACTGAAGGAATCCTACCAGCAAACACTGAAGTAATACTGCCAGCTAACACTGTGAAGGAATCCTGCAGGAAACACTGTTGGAATCCTACTGGGGAACACACTTTGGTTACCCACATTGCAACAATCCTTGACAGACAGTGCACACACAAGTGCTTTTTGCTCACTTTTGAGAATTACACAACACTCCTCAGGCATTGATCATTCATCGACAGCCTAAGGTGCCGGAATAAATTATTCCATAGTACCACTACTGGGAGTGCCGTTGTCAAAGATATTTAATCGGTTGTATAATTTACCTGTGGTGCTGTTATTGGCCGTTCTGATTTTGGAGATACCTGATTGGTCAAGTGATGGATGCAAAAAGGTACTTTTGTAATGAACATGTTTAGAACACTGGTTTAATATCTGGTGATGGCAGATGTTAAAACACATGCCAAGTTACTACATATGTTAAGACATGCTGTTTGACACTTCTATATATATGCTGACTTCTGTTATTAAGATAAATATTTTTTAATCTGCACCATTGTTGTAGCATAAATTTGTTAAAGATTAAGATAATTATTTTATTTCTGAAATAATTTTGTTATAATTGGCCAAGAAAAGCACAGAAGGCAAATTGAAAATGATATTTGTCAGTTGTGCTGAAATTGCAGCCGACTAATTTTCATTGAAGTGAGGGATTTTCTCACCGTTAAGATGAACGGCAGTGGAGGAGAGAGCGTTGAGTACCACCAGGTGTTGGCACGGGTAACTTGCCACGAGAGTGCTGTTGCCATGTTCAAGCAGGATAGCAACAGCAGCTCATCTCTGGTTGACGAGTCCGAGATGGTTGCCAGCCTCACTGTGGTCACTGACGAATGTTCAATGGGCGGCGATGTTACCAATGAGATTGTGATCACAGCAGACGATAGCCTTACCCTCTCTGCCGATGGGAACTTGACGCCCATGAAGCGTAGGGAGAGTGGAGGCAGCACTGACCCCCTGCAGAGCTCTGACGACGACAAGACACTCGAGAGTCAGATTGTTTTTATTCACCAGCAAGATCAGCAGCAGCAGCAGCGCCAGCAGCTGCATCACCAGTCGCACCATAGACACATCCATGGGGCGACACATCAGCAGATCTTGACGGTGCAACAGCCTCAGCAGGCAACACAGGTTCTGACAGTGAGCGCCGTCCAGCAGCAGCAGTCATTGCCACGAGCTCGTGGCCAGTCAGGTGAGGTGGCCATCAGACCGAACATTAGCGAGATAGTTTCTACCAGCATGACGACTGTAACTGCGAGTAGTTCTTCTCTACTTCCTCTCACAAATACACTTTCAAATGGCACTGTGCGAGTCAGTAATTTACCGGTGAACTTGTTAGCAAGTCCTACTACTGTGAATACAACAGTAGAACAACCAAACAATGGGCCGTGCATGTGCTTTGTGTGTGGCCGCCACTTGTCTGATCCCAGCGAGAGGTTTTACTATTTAAAGACGCAGAAACTGTTCAACACACAGGTAACTCTGCTAGAACTTCTGAGTGACGTACTAAACCAGATGGTCGTTACTAACACGTGCGCCGTCGACCTGTGCTCCAGGTGCTCGGAACTCATTAATGAGACAGACAGTGCGTACACCCACCTCAATCGACTCAAGAAGCAGATTAACTTACTCTTCAGCAACAATCAGCGACCCAAGTTAACCTTTCAGGTCTTGCCAAAGCCAAATAATTTCAATGCTGTTGGTGCAGCTCCGGTGTCCCGGGTGTATCAGCCGCCACAGCTAAACTTAGATGACCTGGCAGCCACGCGGCCACGCCGGGGGCGGCAAGCTCGCAAATCGGACGTGAAGAAGGAAGAAATCCTGGATTCAAAGCTGAAGATGACCCCCAAGAAGAAGGGTGGACGGCCACGGAAGCCGTTTGCTTGTCACATATGCAAGCGTAAGTTCCTGACCAAGGATATGGTTGCTAGTCACATGGTCAAGGAGCATGATATCCACCCTGTGGGTCTGGCCAGGCCTATACTAGGCCCGCAAGGCTCTCCAGAGCCTACGACCATCGTGCTGGAAGAGAGCAGGAACGATGCTGCCAGCTTGGAGCTTCAGCAGATGAAACAGGAGCAGGAGGTCACTAAAGAGAGAACATCTTTGGTGCCTCTGAAGACAAGCCCCATGAAAATTGAGAGTGTGCCTATTACCCTGGGCACCAACCGGCCCTCAGGTTTGCCACCTCTCCTGCCCATAGCCCCCAAAGTGAGCACCGACGTAGCCTCTCAACTCCTGGCATCCATGCGACCAATACAACCTAAACCTCAGACCATGATACAAACCGCTCCAGATGGCTCAATGGTTTTGTTGATGAATCCCACCGTTGTGGACTCCTCGCCAACTGTCATTAAAGTAACACCTGGATACATGAACCTTAAACCTGGTCCCCATGCATGTGACAAATGTAACAAGACTTTCCTTGATGAGAAGAGTCGCAGGATGCACCGCATTGCTGCACACGGCTTGAGAAAAAGGAAGAGAGATGAGGAAGATGAGGATGATGATGATGGGGAAAAACGAGACAGTGACGAAAAACTGTGGCATTGTCGTTTGTGCGAAACTTCCTTCGTGAACAAGAGGACCCTGACAGAGCACCGCAAGGTTGTTCACACTCGTATCGGAGATGGCGGTAGTGGCAACGACCTCAGGAAGGACCGCCTCCACTCGTGCGACCAGTGTGAACAAATGTTTAGCTACAAGTACGAACTGGAGCGCCACAGAGAGACACACGTGCCGTACACGCAGATGGGCCCTCACGAGTTTGTGTGTTGTGTGTGTGGGTTGAAGGTCGCCAGTAAGGCTGCCCTCAAGATCCACCTCCATCGCTTTCACAGCAAAGATGACGAGACAAAAGATTACCTGTGCTCCGAGTGCGGCTACATGGCATCCACCAAGAAGGCTTTCACCGATCACCAGCGCATCCACAGTGATGACCCGGGGCCCAAAGCACGGTGTACCATCTGTGAGAAAGAGATGCTGGCATCATCATACAAAATCCACATGCTGAGAATGCATGGCGAGCCCAAACACCCATGTGAAACGTGCGGCCAAAGGTTCACCGTCAGATCAGATCTCATGCGACACCTGAACACCATCCACTCTACCCTACGGCCGTACGACTGCGACCTGTGTGGCGAGAAGTTTGCCACCTCCGACGCCCTCAGGTTTGTCTGGGTATTTTGTTTTCCTTGACGGGGGTTTCCTATCCCCAAAGCTAATTAACACTGTGCAGCTATTACAGTTATCAGACTTACAGGTGGTCCTCGACTGATGGAGTTACATTCCTACAGATGCATCGTAAGTTGAAAATATCTTGTCGAATATGAATATGACATAATAAATAAACAAAATAACTACTGTTACTGAATAAGTAAATAATTACTGTAGCTAAATGCCTGTATTGAAAAATAAATGAATACAAGTTTATCCTATCAATAAATGTACAGTATTGCACAATGCAAAAAAGTTGTAGATGTATTGAACTATCATTAAGTCAAAATATTGTAAAATCAGGAGCATCTGTAATATTATTATTGTGTTGCATTATAGTTGTATTTTTGTAATTATTAACCCATAAACGGTCCAAATGTATATATACGTTTTTTCAGCATTTGAAAGTACAGTGGACTCCCGGTTAACGATATTTTTTCATTCCAGAAGTATGTTCAGGTGCCAGTACTGACTGAATTTGTTCCCATAAGGAATATTGTGAAGTAGATTAGTCCATTTCAGACCCCCAAACATACACGTACAAACGCACTTACATAAATACACTTGCATAATTGGTCGCATTGGGAGGTGATCGTTATGCGGGGGTCCACTGTACAGTGGTCCCTCAATAATTGTCCGGCCTGAAAGTCGTCCATTTCGGAAATAGTCCTGTTTTTTCGTCAAAATATTGGCTCGGAAAGGGTCCGGTAACTCGCTAATAGTCCTTCGTCCCGGACGCGTACTCACGGTCTGAGCGGCCTCGAGCCGCCTCGGCCTTTCCTTCCCAGCCAGTGTGCCATTGTTTACCAGTGAGCTACAGTCCCCTCACGTGCTCCAGCAAAATATTTCATAATATTTCATTTATTTTAGTGCTTGCAAGTTATTTAAGTGCTAAATAAGCTACCATGGCTCCAAAGAAAGCTCCTAGTGCCAAGCCTTTGGTAAAGAAGGTGAGAAATATGATTGAATTTAAGAAAAACATCATTGAACAATATGATAGTGGCGTACATGTGGGCGAACTGGCCAGGATGTATAACAAATCCCGTACAACCATATCTTCCATCATGGCCAAGAAAAAGGAAATCAAGGAAGCTGTTGTTGCAAAGGGGGTAAATATGCTGACAAAAATGAGATCACCAGTACTCGAAGATGTTGAGAAGTTATTATTGGTGTGGATAAATGAGAAACAATTAGCAGGAGACAGTCTTATGACGTCGCTTATTTGTGAAAAGGCTAGGCAGTTGCATGATGATTTGGTAAAGAAATTGCCTGCAACTAGTGATGATGTGAGTGAATTTAAGGCCAGCAAAGGCTGGTTTGAGAGATTTAAGAACCGTACTGGCATACACAGTGTGGTAAGGCATGGTGAGGCTGCCAGTTCGGACCACAAGGCAGCTGAAAAATATGTGCATGAATTCCAGGACTACATAGAGGCTGAAGGACTGAAACCTGAACAAGTGTTCAATTGTGACGAAACAGGCCTCTTTTGGAAGAAAATGCCAAAGAGGACCTTCATTACACAAAAGGAAAAGGCAATGCCAGGACACAAGCCTATGAAAGACAGGCTGACTCTAATGTTCTGTGCTAATGCTAGTGGGGATTTCAAAGTGAAGCCATTACTAGTGTACCATTCTGAAAATCCCAGAGTGTTCAGGAAAAACAATGTTATGAAGAGTGAATTGTGTGTGTTTTGGAAATCTAATAGTAAGGTATGGGTCACGAGGGAAATTTTCGTCGAGTGGTTCAATGAAGTGTTTGGCCCTAGTGTGAAGGAGTATCTCCTGGAAAAGAAATTGGATCTCAAGTGCCTGCTAGTAATGGATAATGCACCTGCTCATCCTCCAAACTTGGATGACCTAATTCTGAAGGAGTTTGGGTTCATCACAGTAAAGTTCTTGCCCCCGAATACCACTCCTCTCCTCCAGCCCATGGACCAGCAGATCATTGCAAACTTTAAAAAACTCTACACCAAAGCAATGTTTGAAAGGTGCTTGAATGTGACCTCAGAAACTCACTCGACCCTACGAGATTTTTGGAAAGAACATTTCAGTATTCTCCTTATAGGTAAGGCTTGGGAGGGAGTGACTACCAGGACTTTGAACTCTGCTTGGAGAAAATTGTGGACAGATTGTGTCCACAAGAGGGATTTTGAAGGGTTTGGGGCTGACGCTGATAAGCCTATGTCAGTTGTTAAATCCATTGTGGCACTGGGGACTTCCATGGGGTTGGATGTGAGTTTGGAGGATGTGGAAGAGTTGGTGGAGGACCACAACGAAGAGCTAACCACCGAGGAGCTGCAAGAGCTTCAGCAGGAACAGCAACAGAGGGCAGCTCTGAATCTTGCTGCAGAGGAGGAGGAAGAGAGATGGAGGAAGGTGCCTTCTTCAGAAATTAAGGAGATTTTTGAAATGTGGGGTAGGATGGAAAGATTTATGGAGAAACATCACCCAGAGAAGGATGTTGCAAGCCATATCGGCAACTTGTACAGTGACAGAATCTTGGCCCATTTTAGGGAAGTTTTAAAGAGACGCCAGAAACAGAGCTCTCTGGACAGTTTTTTGCGAGACAGGACTCCAGTGACTCAAGGTGGTCCTAGTGGCATTAAGAAACAGAGAAGAGAAGTAACCCCAGAAAAGCAATTGTTACCCGAGGTGTTGATGGAAGGGGATTCCCCTTCCAAACAGTAATTCATCCAATCAGTCTCATTCTCCAGTCTTCCATACACTAAGAAGACTCGCCAATAAAGGTAAGTGTTATGCTGTTAATGTTTCATTCATCATTTCCCATTGTATTGTTTATGTACTACATCTATATTTCATGTAAAAAAATTTTTTGTTTTAATACTTCTGGGTGTCAGGAACGGATTAATTGAATTTACATTATTTCTTATGGGGGAAATTGATTCGTAAATTGTCCATTTCGATAATAGTCCCACTTCCAGGAATGGATTATGGACGATTATTGAGGGACCACTGTATGTAAAAAAAGTAGATTTTTTTTTTTGTACATTTGAAAATATGTAAAAAAACTTTGATCTACTTTTGTAGCGCTACACATGTGAACGTAGCTCTGCTTGGACCGTTTACGGGTTAATATTAAGGCAAGAGACATTTAATATCAGCTTTCTTACTATTAATGTTTTTAATGCACAAGCCATATCCCACTGACATGTTTGACGCTAAGCAGGTTAAACACCCCATCACACTGTACTCCCCATCTCCAAGACTTGAATCTGGCTGACCGGTTCCACCGGACCCCTTCACAAACCTGACTTCTGTGACGGCAGACTTGTACTTGCAGGTACCACCGCAACAAGACGCACTCAACAGTGGTGCACCAGTGCGAGTACTGCAGCAAGAGCTACAAGTGGAAGGGGGAACTAAGGACACACGTCCAGCGCAACCACATGGAGCACAAGGAGCGCTACCAGTGCTCTCTCTGCTCCCGCAACTATGCCGACCGCCGCAAGCTGCGCCACCACATGACTGTCAAGCACCAAGTGCTAGACAACTTCAAGAGTTGCCAGGTATGGATTGTAACTTTTACTGTAAAATCTAGAGGCGTATATGGGAATTATGCCGTATGATATGGTATAGATCATAGCAATTAGCGTAAAATGTAGAGGTGTATGTGGGCATAGTGCTGCATGTGTCAACCACGGCAGGTGTGCCAAGATCAGTCAGGCCGTCAGCACTGTCCTGCATGATATAAATTTCTCACATTACAAGAAACATCTTCAATAATAATAATAATAATAATAATAATAATAATAATAATGATACTGTTGTAATTCATTGTAATTAATAATGGTACAGTAAATTAAATGAGTTATGACACTGGCCATCTCCCACCAAGGTTGTTTGACCTAAAAAAAGGGAAGAAATACATTCACCATCACTCAGTCCATAACTGTCTTGCCAAAAGTGTGTTGACATTGTACTTCAGATGACCACTACAAGTAACTAGCGATATACACTGCCCTAATTATTATCGCTATTTTTTTTTTTTAAACACAGGTCACATCCCACCAAGGCACGGTGACCCGGCATTTAGTAATTTATACAGAAGGTTACTAACTCTTGGTATTTTAGTCGCCTCTTACGACACACACATGGCTCGCGGAGTAAGAATTCTGTTCCAATTCCTCATGGAGATGAGGAAATTAACAAGTACAAGAACTAGTAAGAAAATAGAAGAAAACCCAGAGGGGTGTGTATATATATATGCTTGTACATGCATGTGTAGTGTGACCTAAGTGTAAGTAGAAGTAGCAAGACGTACTTGAAATCTTGCACGTTTATGAGACAGAAAAAAGATGCCAGCAGTCCTACCATCATGTAAAATAATTACAGATTTCTCTTTGACACTCATTTGGTAGGCTGGTAGTACCTCCCTGGGTGGTTGTCTACCAGCCTACTACCGCAGGACGGTAGTACCTCCCTTGGTAGTTGCTGTCTACCATCCTACTACCACAGGACAGTAGTACCTCCTTGGGTGGTTGCTGTCTACCAACCTAATACCATATACTTACCTAATATGTACTTACAAACATGTTGGGGACCTGTATTATGTATATTATACACAATACAGAAAATTCTCAATGTGTTTGTAAGTCGTGGACTTAACTGTAAAGTAGGACCCCGTATCCAAAGTAGGTCTTGGAACTTATTCCCTGCTGATACAGGGGGATTACTGTATTGTGATTTTTCATTCTTCATTATCTTGTTTGCAGCCTCGGGAGCAGAAGATGGTGGTGACGTATAAGGGTGGGGACGAGGAGATCCCAGCAGCGGGTATGAGCCACAGGGCACACTGCTGCCTCCTTCAGTCACCTCGCACTCCACCAGCCACCACCTGCAGCAGACAGTCGCCTCTCAACCCCAGGACATGATCCAGCCGTCCATCGTCACCATCCCAGTCTATCACCACCACCACCACCATCACCACAATCCTCCCACCCAGCACAGTCTGCACCACCACCAGGGCATTGTTGCAACACCCGCAGCAGCAGCAACAGCAGCTTCATCTCTCTCAGCCTGGGCATCATACCCTGCACCAGCACCAGCAACATCACCACATGCTCAATGAGGTGTACATCGTACCAGATCTGAGTGTACCTTTACACGAGGAACAAGTTACTACCTCATAGAAGCAGATCTGAGCATACACTAAAACCTCCATATAACAGACTAATAGTGATTTAATGAACATTCGCATAATTCACCCCTATGTTTAAAAATATTCAAAAAATCACTATAGTTGTTCCTTGACTTATGTCCTGATGAACCCATCTTAAGCTGAAAATATCGTAAATTAAATATTAATACACCTACCATCCGACTTACGACCAAGTTCGGTTCCAAGAAACCGGTCGTAAGTCGAAATGGTCATAAGTCGAACTTTACTACTGAATATCAACAAAACATTTTTGTAATGACTTTATTTTGTTTTATTTGGTATTTCGTGTTTTACTTTACTTTTTATGTTGTTAGTACTGTATTTTATACTGTAAGGTTTAGGATAAACACTGTGTACAACACAAACACTTGTTTATTTCCCAGAAATTTGGCATAAAAAACACGGTCGTAAGTCGAGTCGTCGTAAGTCGAGCAGGTCGTAAGTCGGATGGTAGGTGTATATGATAATTTTTTTTCAACTAACTGGCCGTATCCTACCGGGTGACCTAAAAAGAAAAGCAAAAGTTTTTCTTTTTAAATTTAGTAATGTATACAGGAGAAGGTGTTACCAACCCCTCGCTCCCTCCATTTTAGTCGCCTGTTACAACACACATGGCTTATGGAGGACGAATTTTTTTCCACTTCCCCACGGAGAATGAAAAATTTATAAGTAAATAAATACCTGGCACTGAATAAGCACATAAATAATTACTGTAACTAAATACCAGTTTTGAAAAGGAACTGAATACAAGTTTACCCTATCAAAGTTGAATGAGTACTGAATGTGCAGCACTATTGCACCATTGTAAAGTCAAAACATTGCAAGTTGAACCATGGTAAAGCAAGGACTACCTGTACTCTATACCCAATACAGCAGTCTCAATTAGTGCAAGTTCAAATAGTGGGAAATTTGATTTAATGCATAATTAATTAATGCTAGTTTTTTCCCCAAACTCTTTAAATCATACACAAAAATTACACATACGTAATTCGAAGTATAAATTGGAATAATGCGTCCACTTCACAAGATTCATTATGGGCACTAATTGAGACCTTGCTGCAGCAGCGCTGTATAGCCCTTGTGGCTTAGCGCTTCTTTTTGATTATAATAATGAGACCTTGCTGTATAGTTGTGTACATAATTTATACTGTAATAAACATTGAAAATAAAGAAGTTAAAAGTGCAATTTGTCTGCTATTTCAGAAGTCTGTTATAATGAGGTCTGTTATATCAAGGTCATTTTTTTTTCTGTCATTTCAGAAGTCTGATATAGCTACATCAGATTTTTGCCTGCTATTTCAGAAGTCCGTTATATTGAGGTCATATTTTGTTATTTCAGAAGTCTGTTATAATGAGGTCTGTTATATCAAGGTCATTTTTTTTCTGTCATTTCAGAAGTCTGATATAGCTACATCAGATTTTTGCCTGCTATTTCAGAAGTCCGTTATATTGAGGTCATATTTTGTTATTTCAGAAGTCTGTTATAATGAGGTCTGTTACATGGAGTGTTTAGTGTACCTGTGTGTGAGAGCAGGTTACTACCTCATGGATACAAGCCGTGTCAAAATACCTTGGTGCTGGCAATCTACATTTTCCTGCCACTCAATTCACTCTTTCTTTGGCATTAACCACCACACTTCCTAGCAAAGAATACTCATTGTGTTTATTTGAAGAGTTAAACCCATGTGGGCGATTAACCACGAGTACTGGAGGCCTAATTTTTCGTCTGCTAATTGTTAGATGGACACAACTCTCAGTCAGTAGGCTCAAAAAAAAAAAAATCCCCAAAAATAAAGTTTTAGGGTATTAAATTATTTTTCAGGAATGGAACCTTCATTTCTGATATTGATCCTGGGAAAATAAAGATTCAGTTTACCGTGGCATTATGGAAGTGCAGTAGGGTCGTCCTTGTGTGAAATATGTCAAGTTCTTAGTGCAGTTGCTCTTTGACTTACAGTAGAGTTATGTTCTGACAAACCCATCCTAAGTCACTGAATAAATAATTACTGTAACTAAATACCGGTATTTAAAAGTACAGTGGACCCCCGCATAACGATTACCTCCGAATGCGACCAATTATGTAAGTGCGTTTGTATGTGTATGTTTGGGGGTCTGAAATGGACTAATCTACTTCACAATATTCCTTATGGGAATAAATTCGGTCAGTACTGGCACCTGAACATACTTCTGGAGTGAAAAAATATCGTTAACCGGGGGTCCACTGTATAAATAAATACAAGTTAGGGATTTGACAGCTTCATGCTGGGTAATTATCTTAAGTTTCTGAAGTAATTGCTTTTGTACCATCATTAAGTTGAGTCATCGTAAGTCAAGGAGCACCTGTAGTGTGAGATGTGGTGGTCCCTTTACAAGGAGCATTGCGAGTTCTGACTCGTGAAAAACATAACACGACTGCAAACGGATCACGGAACAGCCTGAGAGTTTCAGGTCTCACTTGCCGTGGGTTCAACCCCCCACCCATTTTGGTTTAATTGTGCATTCTGGTGATGCCTACATAAGGAGGAACACAAGATTGTGGATGTTGCAAAATAATGATCAAGCAGTTGATTGAACTGCAGTCACTTCTCTTATAAAGCTCCTCTGTGTAATGTGATTTATTAAAATATGATTAAAAAAAGTACAATTACAATTGAGCAGCACATGTAGGTAGGTTTACTTAGATACAGGCACACATAAGTACAATTATCGTACATAGTAATATGCTTAATTTGCAGATGGGTGAAATTATTTACAGAAGTTTCCTCTCAGTCCACAGCAGGATTTGAACCTGCAAACCCGGCATCAGAGTACACAGTACTTTATCCATCGTAACGTATGTGTAAATTACCTAGGATAGCCCCCCCCCAAAAAATAGAAAAAAATATCAGACATGTTGAAAAGGCCCCTTGTGTACAGTTCAGAACATTTGAGAAAATGGCTTCATCAGTCATTATTAAGACATACAACCATTTGGAGTGAAGCAGTTCCCATAATAAATACCCTGAACTAAACACCAGTGGCCTTTTCCACTGTTCGTGGGTACCACCAGACCATTTACAACCCGAGTACAGCCTTTCCTTACTTAGTGACGAATTCATTTACTGACGTGGTCTTAGGAACATAACTCTGTCGTTACGTGAGGAGAGGCTGTAATGTGCTGTGAAAGCCTTTCTATTCGCTTTCGACTATACTGTACCTTTTTAGTTGAATTTAAAAACAAATGCACTCTATAGAAGAGCATTATGAGAGCTTAGTACTGTTAAGCTTCAGTATTAGGTCTGCCATAACACACTGGAAATACCAGTGTCAGTATAAGGTCTGCCATAACACACTGGAAATACCAGTGTCAGTATAAGGTCTGCCACAACACACTGGAAATACCAGTGTCGGTATAAGGTCTGCCACAACACATTGGAAATACCAGTGTCAGTATAAGGTCTGCCATAACACACTGGAAATACCAGTGTTAGTATAAGGTCTGCCACAACACTGGAAATACCAGTGTCAGTATAAGGTCTGCCACAACACACTGGAAATACCAGTGTCAGTATAAGGTCTGCCATAACACACTGGAAATACCAGTGTTAGTATAAGGTCTGCCACAACACTGGAAATACCAGTGTCAGTATAAGGTCTGCCACAACACACTGGAAATACCAGTGTCAGTATAAGGTCTGCCACAACACACTGGAAATACCAGTGTCAGTATAAGGTCTGCCATAACACACTGGAAATACCAGTGTCAGTATAAGGTCTGCCACAACACACTGGAAATACCAGTGTCAGTATAAGGTCTGCCACAACACACTGGAAATACCAGTGTCAGTACAGTGGACCCCCGCATAACGATGGCATCACATAGCGATTATTTCGCATACCGCTTACTTTAATTGCAAAAATTTTGCCTCACATACCGCTTAAAAACCCTCTTACCGATTTTCGTCTGAGACGCGCTCACATGTTCCGCCGGTGGCATTGTTTACCAGCCAGCCTCCGCGGTAACATCCAAGCATACAATCGGAATATTTCGTATTATTACAGTGTTTTCGGTGCTTTTTCTGGAAAATAAGTGACCATGGGCCCCAAGAAAGCTTCTAGTGCCAACCCTACAGCAATAAGGGTGAGAATTACAATAGAGATGAAGAAAAAGATCATTGATAAGTATGAAAGTGGAGTGCATGTCTCCGATCTGGGGCCCGGTTGTATAATAAACCCCAATCAACCATTGCTACTATTGGGGGTACAGCTGCTGCTGCTGCTGCACTGTCAGCTGCTGCTGCTGCTGCTGTGCACCGTTGTTGGTGTGGCTTATTTAGAAATACCAAGAAACAATTAACCCCAGAGGATTTTTCACCCAGGATAACCCAAAAAAGTCAGTGTCATCAAAGACTGTCTAACTTATTTCCATTGGGGTCCTTAATCTTGTCTCCCAGGATGCAACCCACACAAGTCGACTACACCCAGGCGAACAGGAAAAATGCCTGGAACTAGTGCTCATATTGGTGAATTTAAAGCCAGCAAAGGTTGGTTTGAGAGATTTAAGAATCGTAGTGGCATACACAGTGTGATAAGGCCTGTTCTGGAAGAAAATGCCAAACAGGACCTACATTACTCAGGAGGAAAAGGCACTCCCAGGACACAGTGTCTCATCAGTCATTGCTGCATCTTCAATAAAGGTAAGTGTCATTTATTCTTCATTTAGTAGACTAGTACATGCACAATATATACTGTGCATGTACTACTCTACTATTGTGCATGTATCCTTCTCTTTGTGTGTGGGAAAATGTATATTTCATGTGGTAAAATTTTTTTTTTCATACTTTTGGGTGTCTTGCACGGATTAATTTGAT